TTCTGTAAGGAGACTCCAGAAACTGTTTTTCCTTATGGAGTCTCTCAAGTAAAAAAGAAATATTTGCATGCAGGGTTTTTTGTTTGTTTTTTGATGGGGGTGAGCAACCCTCACATGGCAATGAAATATCCAGAGAACTATGTAGCCTAGTGTTTAAAGATATGTTCAGAAAGGACTTAATTGGAAGAACATGAATCTAATTTTATCCTTCGTGTTAGACCATAGTTTTGTGTTTATTTCTTATTTTGCAGGAGTCTTAACTGCTAGACAGTAGCAGGCTTCACTGTACCTAGAAAGCTAAATCTTATACAGTCATAATCTCATGAGAAGTCTATAATCCAAGTTGATTTTCAAATCTGAGTCAGTTATATTATTAGAACTTGGGCATAACTCTTCAAATGAGTTATTAAAGGGGATTTAATCTTTTTGTCCATAGAAGTACTAAAACACTAACACAATATATTGGAAAAGCTAAAAAATACAACTTTTGGGATATTATTTTATTGTGATTTTTGTATAATGCATAGTAATAGTTCTATGCCTTACTGCTGTTACTGTGAAGTAAGTCCATAGCTTTGTTGGCCTTGGTAGCATGCTAGTTTAAAACATCTTGTGTACAAGCATTGTAGACTGTATGGATTATTAGAAACAGAGCTGCCAAAAAGAGCTGATAGTGGTTAAGAGAGGCTATCAAAAACTTTAAAATGAAAGTGCTTTTTGATAATGAAAACAGAAACACAACTAGATGGTTTTCAGGCATTCTACTTTTAAAAGAAATAAATGCCTCCATCTTGTCCCTGTCCATGGTGCTTCTTCTCCATTATATAATCCCAGCCAATCCATGATCACAAAGTGAGCATGTGACATTACATATCCAGCTGGGTTTGACTATATTATATCAATGGGGGTAAAGTTAAGACAGTTCAAAGTGGGAGAAATTCTTCAAGTAAACTGCTCTCATTTTGAAAGGGTGTCAGTATAGGTGACTGAATGATAGTGCTACAGAGCACTTTAACTCCTGTATGAGCCATTCCCTAATCAGTGAGAGGAATTACACTTTTTTAATAGGCCAAAGTCTTACCTATCACAGCCCAAATGTTTGCACCACTTCCAAAAGATGCTCAAAGCTGGGATTTGATGAGTCTCTACAGGATGGGGGTCTGCAGTTGAAGTGCAGTCTCTGAGACTTCGCACTCAGAAGGAAACACCCAGGAAGCTCTCAGGAGCCTTTTCCCTATCTGCTCTGATTTATCTATGCCAAATGTAATAGGGCAATCCTAGAGGATATTATGAATGATAATAGTTCATTAGGTTGGAGCAAATTTCACCCTAGAACCCCAAAGTTTTCTCCAGCATTGTAGAATGTGTCATAATATTGGGGGATCCAGTACAGAAGCTGGGTCACTGCTATAATCTACTTCAAATGGTGTCCCTGTCTAAAGGCAGAAAACTGTATTCCAAACCATTTCAATCTTCACTAATGAAGTTCTGAAAGATGCTTCTACTCTATTACAATAGTCTGACCTTGCATATTCAAAGGCATGAATGATAGACAATGATGAGTCTGATGGAAAGAATTACAACTTTCTCACCAAATAGTGTTGGTGAAGCTGCTGCTACAAAAACTGGGCTTTAAGGTACTTTGTTGGGTCCAGAAGATAGCCATGTGGCCAAGCTCTGTGTCATGCCTAACGACTCAGAGGAGTTGTTAGCACGTGTGAGAGAACAAGAAGCTCCCAGCAAGAGTCAGGCCTTAGAGCAAGAAGATTTCTACTTGGTGCCCATTGCACAAAAACCCCCCCTCCCCGCCACCTGACTTTGACGAAGTTTTTCTTCAGCCAGAACAAGTCAACATTCTTCAGAGAGATAACATTGCTAGGCAGCCAGTGGAACAGACCGTCGCTATGAAGAATGCCCAACAGAGGAGGAGACTTTGGTGTTTGAGCCAATTAGAAGCGAGGGGAAGTGAAAAAAGAAGGGAGAGGAGTTTATCTAGCCCTCGTGGGGAGGGGTGTTCCCGTCAGGTGAAGAGTGCGTGAAGAGTGCATCATAAATCTGAGATAGGTCAGAAAGGAGGGGGCAACTGTGTTGCTTAGAACTGCCATTAACAGCTCCTGTATTATTCATTGCCTGCTTATCTTTGAAGTTGTTTAGAATAAAAGGCTTTAAACCTGTATTGCCTGTTCCTGTGTGAGTAATTAGGAAGAGTGCTCCGGCCTCACGACACTCTGTCTATCCAGGTAGGGGCATAGTTGGTAGTTCAAAGAAGGTGCTCCTGGCCACCAGGTTCTCTTGGGCCTCTAGTGATAGTGCTGGATCCAGGACCCCCCCCCCCGACACAGACACACAAGCTGTGGTCTGTGTCCTTTAGGGGGAATGCAACCCCATCCAGGATATGGTGATGACCAGACCACCTATCAGTTGCACTTCTATCTTCTTGACTGGATTGAGTTTCAGTTTATTGACCCTCATCTAGTTCATTATTGATCCCAGAACTGATTCAGGACAGAGACCACCTCACCTGGATTAGATGTGAAATAGAGGTAGAACTAGGTATGAAAAAAGGTCTCAAAAAGGTTTATACATCATGACCAATCTTATTATATGCTATAGAACAGTGGTGGTGAACCTATGGCACACGTGCCGCAGCAGGCACACAGAGCCTTCTCTGTTGGCACGTGAGCCAAGACACCCAGCAGCCGAGCATCGGATAACAGCGCACATAGGGGCCATGCGCATGCTTGGAAAAGAGTAGCAGTGCCAGGCAATGATGTCACGAGCTGTGACTCGTCCAAGCTTTCGCATGGCCAGTCAGTGCGCTGCCAAGGATATATATATATATTCCCTTGGATTGGCTGTGAAATGTTTTTTCTAAACTAAAACCTCAGTGTTCAGGTTTTATTGCAGTGTTGACACTTTGTGATAAATAAGTGGGTTTTGGGTTGCAGTTTGGGCACTCAGTCTCTAAAAGGTTTGCCATCACTGCTATAGAAAGATCTTCTGCCTCCGGTAGTCTCATTTTCCTCAGGAAAAGCCCAGTTCTCAAAGTATTATTACAAAGAAAATGCCAATAGTTCCAATTTCTCCAAAGAAGGCAAGGATATAAGAAAAAACCCTGGTGATTATACTATTGGCCCATCTGATCTAGTATTCTATTCCTGTGGTGCCAGACAAGGTGCTTATGGCACCTTATCCTTAGAGGCAGAATATATGCACAGTAACACTCATCAAGTCATATTCTCCAGCAACTGGTGTTCACAACAATACTGTTAGGTTTTTGATGCTGGATTTTTGTTGTCTACAAGTATATATTAATGAAAGCTGAAGCACTGAGTTTTGTCAACCACTTTTATATAAACTACTGTTCCTAAAGTACTCATTGTCAAACTGTGACCAAACTTATGTCTAGTAGTGGGAACTTTCATCACTCCTTCTGTCACATGTATACCACTTTTCAAAAAATGTTAAGACACCTGGTAGGGTTCAACTTCCTCTGCTCCATGTAAGCAAATGTTTAAGCTATAGACCTTCCCCTGAGAAAGACTCAGATACCTCACTTTTGTTATTCCAACAAAGAATTCTAATGAAGTGATGTGTAAGAGTGCACAGGTAGGAATTTAGATCATATAGTTCACCATAGTAAAGCAGCAGTCTGATTGTTGAGGTGTGCAACACGGAGCAGGGTTAGAAGGATTCAAGAGTTCAGCTGACTTGAGACCAGGCCAGCTATGCAGTTGGACAAAGGGAAAGTGACACATTCCAAGCTGCTTTGGGCTGCAACCATGCAGTGCCCCTCCCACACAGAAAGTTCAGTTGCATCAAGGATAGCTTGTTTTCTTAATCCCAGAGGGAGCTATCATGTTTGCCAGTAGGCAGCCAGAAGAGCCAGGAGAGAACAACCTACAGGCAGCCTAGGCTCTAGCAGTAATCCTGTAACCTGTAACCCTTGGGCTAGAAGAAAGTACATTACCAAGACAAGGCAGCCTGATTCATTGCTACTTCCTGTACAAGCTCCTCACCTGCTTCCTGTGCACTTGTTTAAATTTGAGCTGACGATTCCATTCGGAACACCACAGAACATAAACAACTTTATGCAATTGTCTTTATTTCTCCCCTCATTCCCTCATCCCATAATGTTACAGCTAGCCATTAACAAGACGTGTGTTCAAGAGAAGGTCATGGATTCATTTTTAGGAGACTATGATAGTGTCCTTTGTTTTAATCTATTTTTAGTAAGTTCCAGTTTTATTTTAAAATAGGGTTTAATTTCTGAAAGATGCCCTCAGGGATATTTTTTTACAATTTCATATTCATTCTCACACTATAAGCTCTGATACTGTATTAAAAGCTTTAGTTCTTGAGTCTTTTATTTTATGAAATAGGTGACAGATACTATCACTGCACCCAGGTGTCTTCAGGTTGCAGGCAGACCATGTTTATGAAATTATTAATCACCCAGAATATCTGGAAAACATGCACTTTCTGCATAACAGAGTTGGATGCTTAGTCATCATTTTAAAAGACTATATTTTATTTAAAGCATTTATACCCCGTCTACGAGCCCTTTCCTTCTATTGATCATATATATTGTCCTGCTTACTCAGTTTTTCATGACAAATCTACTGGGCTGGAGGAGGCTATTACACAAATCACACATAATATTTTCATAATTAAAGTATTCCATAGCCACTGGTCACTAATCACTAATGAGCCAAGTGCCATTTTAATCAGTTGAGCTTTCTTGTGGTTATGTGGGCCTGCTCTGCATAAACCTAACACTTTGTGGTAGGCAATACAAATGTGATTGAAGGTGATATAAGGTTCCACTGAAACTAAATTTAGCAGGATGAATGACTCTAGGCCCTGGGTTTGTAGCATTCATTACTGAAGCTCATGCTGAGTAATTTTAGGAAAATGATGGAAATTTCATACATTTTACTTTAAATTTATTTTACTTTTTGTTATTTTCACTCAGCTTGCTGTTTAATCTTTGATTACAGGCTACTAAAGAAGTAATAGAACGAGAGGCCCCAGGGATGGCTTTGGCAATGCTGATGGGATCACTTAATGTTACACCTCTGGGCATGCTCTCTAGGTAAGAATGTTAACAAAAATAACAAAACAAACTATTTCTATAGAAATATTTAAGATGATGGAATGGCTTCATTGAGCAATACACCCATTCTTGGCCTCTTCCTTATTTTGTGGTTCTAGTTCTCTCATGAATCTTGATTTAACATTTAGGTGGCTCTGACACATGGTGTTCAGGGGAGGGAAAAGCACCTCAAGGCATGGATGGTTGACTTCAAACGTTCTGGGGCCAGTTTCTGAGCTCCAGAACCCCTGGGGGCTACACACACCCAGCTAATAATACTACCACTGCCTGATTGCTGTTTAAACTCAGTGATGGCAAAGATGCTTCATTTCTGTTTTAAAGCTAGGCTCATGGGGAGAACATCTTTATTGCATCAATTTGCTTTAAAGCAATGAAAATTATCCCTGGCACAGCACCAAAATTCAGTGGCAGTGCAGCATTAGTGACTCAAATGGGAACAGGGGCTGCAAGAAGGGGCCACATGTGGACCATGTGTTATCTAGCCCTACTTTAAAGATCTTATTTTTAAACTTTCTTGGCAAGCATCCCATATAATAATAATGTTCAACATTTCTACACAATTTATAAGCATTGATTTTAAAGGACTTTGTGTGCACTGCTTCAGTAATCCCTATAACAATTTTGTAAGGAAGGTCAATATGTTTCGCCTTTATTACTGATTGTGATGGGAGCTAATGGTGGAAGATACTCACCCAAGGCCTGTTCTTTGTGTTTGTGGCTGCCAGCAACTTGGCTATTCCTGCCCACACATCTGAAATGATGCTCACTTTTTGAACCATGACCACAGCCCCCAGACCACTGTAAGGTACTTTTTTTCTGATAGGATTTTTCTACATTAATACTTTTTCTACATTTTCTACATTAATACATTAAGATTGCTCAAAATCAGTCTAAAGTTGCATTAATGTACCAGCTTACCTTGAAGTAAGCCACTTTGAACTCAGTGAGACATGCTTTTGACTGTATAAGTGTATAATATATTTGAATTGCACTTCAAGTTACTATTACCATGCTAAAATTAGGGAAACTGAGATATGGATAGCTTGAAACCACTTGGCCATTGATCAGTTTGCATACATTGACCAGTTCTGGCAGTCACTCTTTTACAACAGTTTGTAATAGTTTCAGACACCACAAAATTAACCAAGAATAGAGTATGGAATATATCGTTTGGAATTTGTTTTCTGAAAGTTTTTCTTTCACCAATTGTCCCCAGCAAATCTTAATCATTCTTTATAAATGTCTCATCAAAGGATTTGCTGAGAAAGAAGCTTTCCAAGGTAAATTCAGGGGTTGTACAGATGATCCAAGTGTGTGCGTGCGCATAGCATAAAGGTTTTTGCATTGTGGTTTGCCTTCATATAACACAAGTGTGAATGAATTGGGTCCAGTGTAGAACATCTAAATGTCTTCAGAGAAATCTACTTTACTGAGTATATATTATTAGAGCTTATTACATGATCATGATAAGGGAAAAAAAGCAGTGGCATTCATTTTGTATAGCTGGTCATGTTAACTTTCAAGGTGAATGGTAAAATGAAAGATAGAATGATAAATATTTAACAGGAGTATATAGATTCATTCCGTGAAAATTAGATGGAAAAGTTAGTGGTTTGCCCTTTCCTTGCCAGAGAAAAATAGTGGAAGATGGACAGTATGCAAAACAGCTGCTGCACTTTTGCTGTTAATGTACCATGAGCATCAACTCAATTTTGCCAGTTTATGTTTTTGGCATACTGCTGTAGGTAACTTATGGCAGCAGTATTTCAGTGGTATAAGTGGAGCAATAGTGTTTCTCCACTGTCTAATATGTTCCATATGGGATTACCCCTATTCTGTTCAATTTTCCTTTCATTAAATATAAGGAAAAAGCCTATGAATAAATCAACAATGGAATCATTTTCAAATGTGTACAGTTTGTTCAAGCCTTTGTTTTCCTCCTTGTCCACAATTAAAAATTAGACCAAAACATCGATAAAAATGTATACATGGCAATGGAGATATATCTACAGATAACAAGAAGTGGTAGCAATTTATTTAGGAAGACAGGACACACAAAATAGAGATCTGAGCAAAAGACATCTAGCAGTCTAAGAAGAAAGAAATGTTTCCCAGGCAATATCAGTGTTTTTCCAGGTGATGTGTCTAACGTTTGAATGCAATAAAATAATTTGGAGTACAATTGCTTATGAATAAGATTGCAGTAATGCATAAAGCATATGCTAAGTGGCTTAATAACTGGAAGGCTCTTAAGACTCCAAAATATCAGGGAGAGGAAAAAAAGACTGATAAGGAAGCTCTCTAAAATATAGGTCCAAGCTAGAACTGCTGGCAAAATGCATGCTTTTCAGTTCAGTTCTGCCCTAATCACATAGAAAGAAGGGGAAATTATTTTTGAAAGAGTAACGGATTGTACAATTGAGTACAGGACATTCCAACCATCTGCTACTTACCTCCCCACAGTCCCTTTGTCTGAGTGCTTTTCTTTTACCAAGTACATTTCTGGAATTAGAACTCTTCTGAAGAAAAAACAGCTTTCTGGAAACAGATTGTGGGAAGGTAATTTGTATGATAGGACCAGTCCATGTTTCAATGCATTGATGTGATGATGTATGTCTAAGTTGGGCCTGAATCTTTTCTACTAGGTGACTAAGGGCGCAATCCTATGTTTGCTTAGAAAAAAAGTCCTACAGCTCCCAGCATTCCCCAGCAATTCATGCTGGCTCACACAAGTATTTAGCTAGCTTTTTTCCTTCATGCAATTTTCCCTGTATGTGATTATTCAGCAAATTAGTTCAATATGTGTGTAGTGGCACCCACCCACAGATATAGACACCCACACTATCTCAGTTGAAGGAATTGCTGCCAAATATTTCTCTGTGTTACTTATCTACACAATAATACAGTGGTGCACTGAAAACTGTGTATGTCTTTGTGAGCCTACAGTATCTTCTACTATGTCAGCTTCCCACAAATTCTCTGTCATTATAGAGAAGTGCTGTTTTTGATTATTTTAATATTCTGGCTTAAGCTCTTTTGTTAAATAATCTCTTGTAGTAATTTTATACAACTATTTTAAATGTCTCTTCGCTTAACTTAAAGCCCAGATCTTTCTAGGTGTTTTTAAAACCTATGGTTACTGCTATTTACTTAATCTACATTGTAATAAACTATTACAATGTAGTTTAGGAAGTTAGGGTGCATTCGTACTGATTGTTGTAGGCTCATCTGATCTGCAATCTTTGATGAGCATGTCAAATCATGATGTTAGAGCACATCATGGCAAGTTGATGTATCCCATCTATGCAGCCTTAGTAGGGAGAGAAGCCCTCATAGGCTTTTGAACTTGAAGTCCAAAGGGATAGCTAGACCAGAAAGTCAAATGTGTGTTGGAGTGGGTAAAGTTGAATTGACTTCATTAACCAGGCATTGCAGAATGTGGGAGAAGAGGAAATGCTGTTTTGGATAACTCCATGTAAGCTCACTCAAAAGAGCAGGAGAAATTCGAATGCTGTGTGGTGGAATTGATAGTGGACTTTGCTTTATTTCCCTTCTCTTATGGTAAATGTAGTTTCCTCTGTGGAAAAGCACAGCTGTTGCTATAGGTAGAGGTAGCAAACGATTAAAAAATAGTTTTCTTTTCATGAGTCCAGCTCATGAATTAGCCATAGGCCTCTGGTAGTATTCAGTGATTTTCTGTGCTGTTAATTAGCCGCTATATCAAGGTCATCAGCAATAGATGATGTACAAATTTTCTGGGAGTTGGACTAGAGCCTTATCCTTTATGTTGGTACATCTCTTTGGAAATCTTTCAATTTTTCTGGACTCAACTGTCTTATTGAATTGTTTACCTTCCTTCAGCTCCTCCCTGTAATCAGTTTGAATCTTTCCTTTCTGTCAGCAGATTTCAAGTAATAAAGCATTGCTATGTGCAAACCGGAAACCCTCTTCCCCTCAGTCCCCCCCCCCCACCCCAGCCTCACTTGTCTCTCCTGTTCTTCATTTATTCTACAGTCCTTTTCCTGGTTGTCAACCCTTGACAGTCTCATTTCCCCACATCCACTGCTGCCTTACCCATGCAGACTGCCTTTTGGGAACTGCCTTAGGTGTCTTCTCTGTTATTGTCTTACCTTTTGATTAGAAAGTCTCACAGAGCATGTTGCATGACAGTTACTGGTTTCCAGTCCCAATGTAGGTCTCTTTTCAAAAGTGAATGAATTTTCCAATCAGGTTTCTGGTATCTTTTATTAGTACAAACAACAAAGAATGTTCTGCCATCTTAAAGGTAACAATTTTTACAAACTAAACTTTTATCTTAATTAGGTAATTGCATTCCTGTGGTGCCCAGTAGCTGAAATTCTTTGGACAATTCACAACAATTAAAACCACAAAGCACACTTTATATAAAATGTAAATGTTCAAATTTTAAAAATACTCAAATTAAGGTATGTAAAGTTTTTTTTTTTTTTTTTGGTTTGGGATGTTACCAGTTAAGATACTTGAAAAAGAATTGGAAGATTGGTTAAATATGATTAATAAATTGATGGGGGTAAAAGTGTGATGACTTATTTAAAATTGGTATAAACTACAAAAATGGGAGGATTAGGTATTCCCAATATAAAATTATATTATGCAGTGAATCAAATTAGGTGTACACCAGATACTATATTACAATGCAAAAAGGAAATATTAGCAGAATTAGAATATCAACAAATTGGGGGATCCCTTTAAACCCTTATTTTTAAAAAACAGGATAAGTTTATTGGAAAGATAGAAAATCCTTTCCTTAAGAACATGGTACAAATTTTGAACAAGTGTAGGGGAATATTCCTGCTGACAGTTTCACCATTAATCTCAATCACAGAAATAGAAAGATTTCCAGAAAATTTGAGAGGTAGTTTGAGAAAAGTATTGAAAGATAAACAAGTTCTTAAAAGATTGCCTAGATAAAAAATATAATACGGAAAGATCAAAGTGGT